AGAAATAACAAATATACGATTCTGCATTGGGTAGAAAGTTGAACTACCTGCTAGGATGGGCTGGTGAAGAGCAGTGGTCCCTGCCAGCACTCATGGCACACAAAGCAAAATTTCTGTTCAGTTATTTTCTGAGATTCTGACTTGTTTTTACTGCAGCTTAACGTCTCCTTTCCTAATACATAGTCTTTGGTAATAATTTTGGATAGGACTCCAACATGCCATGTGGCCTGAGGAAAGTCAATTAACTTTTTCCTTTGGATTTACTTACTAGTAAATTGAGGGCTAAATTAAATAATCTGTAGGGTTGTTTCTAATAAAAATAATGTAATATTGTGATTGTGTGAGTCAAGAAAATTCTCCGGGGAAGTAGTGGTATTATCACAAATGTGTTGATGTAATTGTGTAGGGTCAGAACCCTATCACGTTTTATGGGCCAGGAAATGTTTTCCTAGATGTCTTTGAAGATTTCAGATAAAGAGAAAGTCATGCCACAATATTTTATGTTGAATAGTCAACACCTAGAACTATCCTGAGATGTTACAAACTTACTTTTGTTTGATTCAGGGCAAATTAACATGAAAATCTTATTTCAGTTGTGATAGAATAATAAATACAAATTATTGAATATTTTTATATTACAGGTATTCCACAAACATCATCTCACCTAGTACTCATCTATCAATCAATCAATCATCTATCTATCCATTCAGCCACCCAGCTACCCACAGAAGATAGTGCTGTTACTTCCCCAGTTTTACTAATGAAGGAACAGATTTCAAGGAAAAATACTTTTCTAACCAAATACTAATGCTAGGATATAATTCCAGATTTGTCTGGGTCAAAAGCTCTGGTTCTTGATCGCTAAAATAGTTTTGGAGTAGGTTGTAAACTTTTAAGTAGAGAAAATGTTGAAAGTATGGTGCTTAAAATTCAGTCCCATTTCTTTTACATGTGGTTTTTAAATTGATTTCATCTACCAAATTCACTCTCCACATCTTTCAATTTTAGTCATATGCTGGCTTTTCCAAAATTATGTATAATCCCTGTTTTAAAGTTCTTCAGTTTCAAGAAGTTTCTTTGCAGTTTTTCTCTTTATTTCTTTTTTCAAATTTGCCATCCCACACTACTTCATATATAATATGCACCTGTTATGGTCTACTACTCTGTCTGTAATTTTAAGTTCCTAATTCAAAATAACAAGCAAAACAGTACTAAATTATAAGCTGTGTGGGTTTCTATCACTGTGTGAAAGGCATGTCATTTTGTATTTTTACCTTTCACTAGAGAAAATTAAGACACAGAGACTGAACTATTCCTAATCAAAATACTTCCTGTTCTTTAGTATCTATTCTTGTATCTTTTCTGACACAGTATTGGCATATCTTCCCTAATGCCTTTTACCTTGACTTTTTGTTCCCTACTCGTTGTATTATATAACATCTTATAGAAGAGATTCATCACCAATTATAATATTCTCTATGTTCAATATCAGAAAGCAAAGAATACATATATAAAAGATAATTCTTACTATAATGTAATATTGAGAATAAAAATGGCTATGTTATTACACTACAAATCCGAATAACAACTCAAAAAAAACCATAAAATAAAATGGCAGACAAAAATACTTTATTTAATTCAACTTTAAAGATTTAATTCCTTAAAGAGCTCAATGCTCAGCCTATAGGTCACTAACAACCTTATATATAGTTTTTTATTTTGAGCCATTTTTTCCCTCCTGAATTAATTACTTTATAGCAGTTTGTTTGTGGTGCACACTGTGGTTATCCTGCAACAGCTGTTTCACCCTTCCACCCCTTTCCCTTGTACTGCTGCTAGCAGCCACAACTCTACAGAGGTGACTCATTATTATTTAGCCCAATTACAGTAATTCTACTTTTATAGTAGCTTATTCTTTACTTAAACAGCAAAGGAATTTCATCAGCAGTAAACATGTGACACAATTAAAGCCAATGAGATCTGCAGGCAAATTAGCTGAAGAATTCTAGGGGAGACATTTTTTGTCCTTCTCAGAAAGAGTTTTAAGGAATCAGATATTTCTGTTTTTGGCTGCTGTGAAGGTGAACTCTAGAATTCCTGCAGCCATTCTGCTACCATGAGAAAAGCCAGCCTCAGAATAAATGTGTTGCTGCCAAGGTGAATAGAAACACATCAATTCTGATTACTGTTCTGAGATGGACCTTTCACTTATGAGAGCCAATCAAACCTATTCCTTTGTAAAGTCAGTATGTATTGGGTTTTCTGTTACTTGAAACACATATAATGAACTCTGATACATTATTCATTTCATTTTCCTATCTTGTACTTTTCCCAATAATGCACAAATACATTTATGTACTATTTGGATCATACCTCAATATCAGATCATCTAGATCATATTTCAATATATCATATACATTAGGGGAAACTAGCTTACATGGCTGTTTTATGAAAGTAAAGAAATGCAAGCTTGAAACTCACAGAAACCCTAAAAGATTATATAAAACTTCTCTGAAAGATATATGGCAGGTTAATGATAAAGGATAATTAATTCTCCTTAACTATAATACACTGGTAAAATATATTAAGTCTTTGGTATATTTATATTATTTTTAATTAATGATAGCCAATTATTTTAACTAATCACACAGACAAAATGTCTTAAGATTTCTCTTCCAAGCCTACTTAGGATCCTAGTGAGTTCCGTGATGTATAAGACTTTTCAATGGAATTATCTTATCAATGCATTAAGGCAAACAATATTATGTGACTTTCAAAACCTTTCATAATCTGAGTGCTTCCTACTCTCCCTAAATATTGCCCGCATTCATGTACATGCACCTTCCATTCTAGACTCTTCACAACTCTGCTCCCTTCAACTCTAGATGCATCTTGAAGTTTGCATCTGTGCTTTTTGGACAAGTTCTTCCCTTTCTTCTCCAAAAATGGGGGTCTCCTCTATACATAAGCTCTACAATGGTGCTTTGCTCTTTGGCTCTGATTCTACATCACTGAGCACTTGCCTCGAATGCTTCAGTTTTTCTCCATAATTAGATTGTCAGATCCAGAAGGGCAGAGATTGAGATTTCTTTCTCGTATAACCACCCCCTTAAGCTTCAAGTACTATACAGTAGAGTGGATATTAAATAAATACTTGCTTGATAAGTTAACTATGCTTGTACTACTTATGTTACAAAATTTGTTGTATGGAAATAGAAAAAGATTTAAGATGACTAGATTGGCCTAGGGTTGCCAGATTTAGCAAATAAAAATACAAGATGACAAGTTAAACTTGAATATCATGTAAATAACCACCCCCCTTTTTTTAGTGTAAATGTATCTCATGCAACATCTGGGATATAGTTTTACAAAAATGTCATTTGTTTTTGAATTTAAAAATAAAATATAACTGGGTGTTCTCTATTTGTTTCTGGCAATCCTAGACTGGCCTGACCTAGAACCACCCCCTCACCACCCCATCCTTATTTTCCTAAATTAGAATGGATTACCACATTTCTGATTTATTCAACCTTACATACTTTTGCTAATCAAGCCCTGTGGCATATGCAGCTCTCTGCATTGTTCCATCAATCAGGGACAACAGAGACTCAGTATCCATTATGTGAAATTCACCATGCCTGCCCATGTACAGGGAGGCAGAGATAAATGCAGTGCCATCTGTATCCTCAAGTAGTTCCTCGTCTGGCAGAACAGACAGCCCATTTCAGTCCAGGTTTTACTTGATGTGCAATCCTAGTGTGAATCCATGTGGTCAATAATTTTTTATAGGCCTGACCTACCCCTAAAAAATACACTATACCTGTTTATAGTGTCATCTAAGGAAATATCCCAGATGACACCTTACGCAGGTTGTCAAAAGTGAAGTATACTGTTTTTGAAGGACACATTAAATAGTTCTTAACTGTGAAGTGTTATGTAAACAGCATAATTTGTAATTCTACAGTTGATCTTAGACAAAAGGCCAAGAAGTGATAATTTATAATTCAAAAGAAATATAATTATTCATAATTTGTTTTGATCAGCATGTTGAAATATCAGATTCTGATAATTAAATTCAAGTTTTTACTGTGGAGATTCTTTTTCTGATTACTGGATATTTGATATACATTTTTACTTTTTAGCATAAACAACAGAAATTGACTTTTTTTTCCTTCTCAGATGTATAAATCCTTCACAGGTAAATGCCATGATAACTACTTAATCCATATTACTTATTTAGGTGAATGTTAGGATCCCTTGGTTTAGATTTTGAACCTCTTTGTTGTGTGGCCTTGGTCTGCTTTAGCTGATCTCTTATCACCCAGTCTTTTTTGCAATAAGCAATAAGGCCACAGGAAACCTATTTTCTTTGCATGGCACAATGCCATAACAGCAGTGTGTGTGTGCAGGTGTGCATGTGTATGTATGTGCACGTGCATGTGTATGTGTGTGCACATGCACAAAGTTTCATAGTTTCAAATTCCTAGTAAAGTTTTTACTAGTTTTACGCCACCTACATCCAGTGCTACTTGTAATAATCAAATATTTTACATACAGGTAAAAAACATGTTTTTCATAATAGTGTTAATGTGTGTAAAAGCATTTCTTAGACAGTTCAAGGATTGAATATAATGTCACCTTAACACAACACACAAATTTTCAGTTCTGGAGTAGTGTCATATTTTTCCTTTCTTTCTAAACATAAACTATTGATCTTGACCCTCTATAATTTTATAGAGGTCATTTTAAATGAAGATAGCAAGCATAATCCATCAAATGGTGATTTCCATAGAGTTCAATTTGTTATTAACAGAGGCCTGTGAAATCATAAATGCAGTAATATTAAAAGGTAATGAGAATATAGGAGGAAGTTATGTCAATTTCAATGACTTGTCAGTTACCTAGATAGAAGGCCAGAGTTAACATTATCATTATAACAAAGCCTTTGAAAGTTATGAAATACTCATTTACATTGTATATTTTAGGTCGTCAAAATTTACCTTGGGTAGTTCTTCAATTTGATTGGCATCTAGATAAAGCTCCTCTAATGTTCGTTCGAAGTTAAAGACCTCCTTTGGCACCTGCTGAAGACTGCAGTGGGAGTAATCTAAAACTGAAATGATTTCTTCTTCACCTCGGAAACATCTGCACGGCACAAGACGGCCGATGATTTTCCGTTTGGTGGTCATCTCCAGGCACTGCACTAGAGAAAAGAGAAAGAAAATGAAACAAAACAGCTTATCAACTGCGCTTGGAAGGCATTCTTGTAATATTTAAAGCTTAGAAATTTAATCTTGGTATACAGTCTAGGATACTTTAAAGTAGGACACATATATGTATTGTATCATTAATCCTTAAACAGCCCTGTGAGGTAAGTGAAATGGGTTTTATTCCCATATAGCAAATTCAAAAGTGGATTCAAAAAGCGTAAGACATTCCCCATCATCTCAGATTTGGAATGAAAGAATCAAATTAGAATACAGTCCTGTCTCAATTCAATGCTACTATCATGGTTACCTTCTCACTTGAAACATGGAGTTATATGTTTTCTATTTTTACACAAATTAAATGTAGAACAGAAACATCCAGAATTTGTTGGAAAAAAACATTTGTCCCATTTCTGTAAAAATATTCATGTTTCAGCACTAAAGCTTATGATGTATTCTTTGTAGACCACAAATTTCCTCAGTGAATAGGTATTTACTGAATAACCACTGTTTTAGGCACTGCTCTAGTAGAGACAGTGATGCACTGAGCAAAGCTCCTGTTGAAACTATGGATTATAATTGGATTGGCTATTCACTTCTAAATGGGGATCTATCTTTATGAACCTTGTAATATGGGAGAAAACAACTTGTAATTATGGTAGAAATTCCTGTGACATTCCTGACACATCTTTCTCCCATTCCTCTGGGTTAAACTGACCAAATGCTATTAAATCTTAAAGAAGATTTGTGTCATGGCACCTTCAACATTTTATTCACTCTAATGTTTTTCATGTAATTTTTCTCGTAGACAGTAAGGCTTCTTCAGGACAGTGATTATTTTGTCCATTCTTGTATTTATCTTAGTGCTTGATATATAGTATATATTCACCAACAATTGTAGAACAAATCGATTAAAGCATGAATGAATAAACGAATATATTTGGGACTCTCCTAATCACCATCAGCTACTGATAATTTGCTAAAAAACTTCTTATTTTAACAAAAAGGTCACTATCTCTGTGAATGTCTTCCCAGGAAAGAAGAGTAGCATCTTCCTCTGAGTTCCTAGAGCGCTAATCATATTGTTTCCTAATTGTGTGTGCTATTTCCCTAGGTATCAGGCAAGTTCTCTGAGGAGATCTTGTTTCATTTATGCTTAAATTTACAGTACGTGGTACAGTTTGCCAATTACAGCATTAAATCTTAATAAACATGAATCTGAAACTTGCATTTAACTTGCTAACGTATTTTTACTTAGTAACACAAATTTATTCTTATACAGAAATTAGTAACATTTATAAAAAACAACGTAGCATTTTGTTATTAAAATTTCTCATGTTAAGTCCAATTAGGAGACAATCATTATCTAGCAAATTAATGCAGGAAGAGAAAACCAAATACTGCTTGTTCTCACTCATAAGCGGGAGCTAAACACTGAGCAAACATGGACACTGGGGAAGGGAATAATAGACCCTGGGGCCTACTTGAGGGTGGAAGGTAGAAGGAGAGTAAGGATTAAAAAAACTACTTATTGGGTACTATGCTCATTATCTGGGTAATGAAATAATCTGCATATCAAAATTCTGCAACATACAATTTACCCATGTAACCAATTCTGAACACGTGCCCTAAAATAAAAGTTGGAAAGAAGAACTATTTGGAGGCAATCAAGTAGAATATGCTTTAAGAGGTGTTAGGTGTTCACCCCAAAGTGATCCTTTTTCATCCTTTAACTTCTGGAATTAATAAAAAAGGATATTCTAGGGACAGATTCATGAGTAAATACTTATAGATGATTGTTTGCACATGGTAATCTGTAGAAGGCTGAATAAAAACATTTAAAAAGATGATCTTTCTTCTCCATTATTTTCTATCTCTCAAACTCCTGTACTTTTTATTTCTGGGAACCAGAACTGCAAAATTTTGTAACTATTGTTTTATTTGACCTTACTTGAAATTCTGGATTGTAGGATTGATACCTTTCATGTCATTACCTGGATCCAGCACATAGTAGGCACCCAGTAAATGCATTCTCATAAGTATCTAACATATTATATATTACAAACTTAGTAAATATCTGTTGTGATTATTGTGGTTGTAAAGAGAAGTGGTGATAGCACAGACTATGGTAGTGGCAACGAGGATAAAGAGAAGTGATGGATTGGAAAGATATTTAAGAGGTAGAATCTAAAAGTTGATGATGGATTAAATGAGAGGTGGAAAGAGAGGCTGTGGGAGAGAGGGGAGGGTCTTGAAAGATTTCCAGGTTTTTAATTTGAGTAACTAGTCATCACATTAACCACCCCCAGTAATGCAACAGAGCTAGCCCAAGGCACACATCCCATTTGCTTCTGTATCCATAGAGGAATAAATCAGTTGTTCATGCTTCTTCTTGCCCAACATCTCTCACTCACTGTAGCTATTTCGTGATGTCTGCGTGGCTGCCATTGCACATTTTAAATTATGATCCAAGAGGAAAAACAGAATAGCCAGGCCTGCACCTGAACCATTTGGCTAATGTTTACTGTCTACCAAAACTTTTGACATTTTATTCACTTAGGACACTCTCCCATTCATTAATCAAAAATTCAAACTCTTCTAGTCATCTTTTCTATTTCTTTGCTCATCCAACAACAAGCTGAGCTATTCCCCTCGCCCAGCTTCTTTTTTCTCCTCTTAGATTGTTTCTATACCATGATAAACATCTTTACTGAGGCTCAGTCTCTCTTCACTGAATGCTCCTCACTCCCCTACTCATAGACCCAACTAAAACTTGGTTCTTCCTGATGCCATTAGTTTCTTTATCACCTTTAAAATTAGAGCATGCTGATTTTCCCATTGCATGCTGATTAGCCAATTTCTGGGCTGGAAGATGAGATTGCTCTCCCCCTTGCACTCTAAAAACTATGACTCTTTTCTCATTTTGTAAAATCCTTGTTCATTTGATGGTCTCATGCTCTACTATTAATATCTTTATGCTTGTCCTCAGACCTTTTGTTTACCAATCTCTTATACATTCCCATTCTTTCATTGATGACTCTGGAATCTAGTTTATGGACTTTCAATCACAACTTTTATTCCTGATTTATGCTCCCTACACATAATAACTGTCAACTTTGTAGAGGTTCCCCCCTCCCCCACATTTCTAAACAACTTGACTGTAGTGCTACTCCTTGGCCCCTAACCCCCATTCTAGAGTAACCTTTTGGGAATAACATCTTTTTGATCCAGTCTTGAGTGGTTGCTTTTCCAGCTGTCATCCTAGAATTTCTCTTCACTAACATCCTGTGAATTTTTCATTTTTTTCTTGTGTTATATTTACTATATGCTAGATCCCATGTCATTTTCTAGATTTATTCCTTCAGTTTTGTGGAATATAATGTCTTTACTTGCTTAGAAAGAATTTTATGGTAGCTATATTTTTTGAGGACTTGCATGTCAGAAATACCTTTTCTTTATAAATAAAAAAGTTTTTATTTATCATATTTTCTAGTTTCTAGGGAAACTCAGTTCTATTCTTATTCAAAATCCTGTTTCACACCTACATTCTTCTTCTCCAGAAAATTTTAGAATTTTATTTTTCCTCACTCTTGAAAATTCATGACAATGTGCTTTGATGTGTTTTTAAAATCCATCATACTAGGAACTTGATGAGCCCTTTCACTCTGGAAGCCCTTATCCTAAATTCTGTTAAATTTTTGTTATTATTTGATAAGTTTTTCTTCATTTTTTAAAAAAAATTCTTTTCTCTTGATCTCTATTAACTGGATGAAGGACCTATTTCTTGGACTTATCCTATAATTCAAGTATTTTTTCATTTGAAATTTCCATGCATTTGTCTTTTTAGTCTATTTTCTGTGAGATTTTCACAACTTTATCCCCTAAATCTGTGTCCTGACTTACCCTTTATCTAATAGCATATTTTTGCTAACAAGAGATATATGCTGTTTCCTGAATGATCTTTTCTTCATAGTATCCTATTAGTGTCCCAAGATGCTGTATCATTTATATTTCTCTCAGAAGATATTAACTACAGACTTTCTGTCTTCTTTCCCTTGCTCCCTGTGTTATTGGAATTCTACTTTCTGCTTGTTTCTTTTGATCTTCATCTTTCATGGTAAAGGTTGTCCACAAATATCTGGTGATCCTGGACTGTTCTCCCATACTGAAGTGTGAAACCCTCAAAAGCTAATTGGAAGTTTTGTAGGCTTGACAGGTTTTACTGCAGACTACTGGTAGCAAGCCAAAGGATATTCTGGAAAAATATTCTGGAGAAAAATATTCTGGTCTTCTGCCTAGAATATAGCCATCTTATTATGTATACAGAGATTTTCAATCAGTTTTTGTATTTTCAATACTAAGTCTCTTCAATTTCTTGCCTGGTATCCAGTATCTCCAAGATTCTAAGGTCTGTGGTATATAATCAATTTTCCTATCTCTTTGTGGGTACTTTGTGAAAATGTTGCTAATAGTGTGCTTTGCAATTTGTACAATTTGTGTGTGTGCATACATATATATGTACACATATATGCAATGTAGATCTACATTGCATGTATATATACACATATATATGTATACAGTGCATTTATATAAATATATATGACATCTTTTATATATTCTAAAAACTTCTGAAGTGTCTTATATGCTGATGTCTCCTTTTATATTTTCTCTATCCTTGCAAGAAAATATGTATTTCTCTATCCTTGCAAATATATATATATATTTGCAAGGATAGAAGAATATATATATATATGCATATGTGTGTGTATATATATATTTCTTTTAGTCTAGTGGAGTCATCATTATAAAAATAATATAGTAGGAAAGTGAGAGATTAAAATTTCAATGTTAGTGGAGTCCTTGTTATAAGAATAGATACGTTAGGAAAGCGAGAGGTTAATTTCAATGTTTAAAGGAAGTTTTGATTTTAGTGCCTTTTATCCTTTTAATCCTTCCTTACATGACATATTAGCAAGTAGTTCTGGGCACAGAACTA